TAACAATTTTACGTGGAGCAAGTCATGGTCAACTGTATCAAAAGCTTTACGTAAGTCAATGAAGATCCCAGTGGGACTTCTTTTTTCTCTATTGCAGTGTATATATGTTCTAGCATGTGTATAATAGCATCATTAGTATTTTTATTAGGCCTGAATCCAAATTGGCAGGGGTTGAGTATATTTTGGGAGATAAGGTAGGAGTAGATTCGTTTATGAATTAATTTTTCGAAGATTTTGAGAGAGGGTGTAAGTTGGATATTGGCCTATAGTTATTCAACTCTGTTTGGTCTCCTCCTTTGTGGATCAGGGTGACCCTTGCTATTTTGAGTACTGTAGGGAAGGTGGAGGATTCAATGGATTTGTTAAAGAGTGTTGCAATGATTGGTGATAGCACTTGTGACACTTTTTTGTATATAAAGGGTGGTAAGGTATTTAAATCTCCTGCCTTGTTTTTTAGCGTGTTGATAATAAGGGAGACTTCGTATGGGTTAGTCGGAGCTAGGAACAGTGTGTTGGGGTTTAGTTCCCGGTGAGGTAGTCATTTGGTGGGGTATCTGAGCTTGGGATTTTATTGGAAAGGTTTTGTCCTATAGTGGAGAAGAAATCATTGAGTCTGTTTGCTGTTTCTGTTGGTGGGAGTTGGGTTCATCTGATTTTGCTAATTTTATTTCGCTATTTCGTGATATCTTTTTTTGTTCCCAGAATTTCTGATAGGGTTTTCCAGGTCTTTTTTATATCACCTCATAAGTTGGATAATCTGTTCTCATAATACAATTTTTTGCCCTTCTTATCAGGCTGGTTAGGATTGACGAGTAACGTTTTGTTTGGTCTCTGGTTATGTGACCCATTCTGTACTGTTTTTCATATTGGTGTTTTTGTATTTATGAATTTGAGAATGCTGGGTGTTAGCCAGGGACTGTTCAGTTCTTAGCTGTCATCTGTTTTATTTTTTAGGGCAGTGCTTGTTATAGAGGTATTGGGTCTTTTTTAGAAAATTTTTAATACATTCGTCAATATCTGTATAGATTTCTAGCTCAGTGTGCCAGTCAATGTTTGCTACTGCTGTTGTAAAGTTATTAATGGCTGCCTCATTGTGAAGTCTGAAGGTGACTTTAGTAGTGTCTTGGGGTAATTTACCAAGAGTTGTTATGAGGAAAGTAGGGTAGTGGTCTGTGGTATTATCTGTAATTATGCCTGATTTTAAAGGGGATATGGTGTTGGTCCAGATGTGGTCAAGTAGGGAAACACTAGTCTCTGTAACTCTTGTAGGTTTTTGTTACTGTTGGTAGCAACATACAGTTACTCATTGTGTTTGTGAATTCAGTAACGTGTGGGTCCTGGTCTTGCAGGAGATTTATATTGAAGTCACCTGAGAGTAGTAAGTGATCTTTGTTCATGCGTGCATCAGTTATCATACTTCCTAGGTTTTGACTAAATTGGCTAATGTTTGACTGTGGAACTCTGTAGATATTTATCAATGTGAGAGGTTTTTGTAGGTATTTGGATTTGAATTTGGCTATTATATATTCCCCATGTTCATCCCTTGTGCAAGTATTAGTGATACATTCTAGTTGGTCTGAGTAGTATATGGCTGTGCCACCCCCTTGTTGGTCTGGCCTACAGTTGTGTATGGCTGTGTAACCAGGAATGGCATAGACATCTGTAGTATCAGGCTTTAGCCAGGTTTCAGTTAGTGTAATGATGGACATATTGGCATGTAAGGAATTTAGTAATGCTATGAGGTCATCGTAATGCTTGCTTAAAGATCTGATATTGTAGTTAAAGATAGTTATGTTGTTGGCACTGAGAAGTGCCTTTGATTGTTCTGCAGTGTAGTAATTACAGTAACTGTTTGATTCATTTAAGTCATTAAATAAGAGGTTGGTGTCAGGATCAATGCTTGTAATCATAAGATTTGTAGTGAATCTATAGTTAGAATTAAGTATAAAACAAAGTAAATAGTCTTAAGCTAAAAAATAGCACCTGAATTATTTAACAAATGTAAAATAATGAGCTAAGGTAGTTTTTTTTTTTTTTTTTTTTTTTAAGCTAAAATAAAAGGAGACAATATAAAAGGGACTAATACAAATAAAGTGATGATCAAATAATGGAGCTTGGGAATATGATAGTAGGTAGTACTATAAAGGTAATTCTTTAAAGTTAGAATTATAGTATAAAATTATAATATAAAAGGGACTAATATAAGTTGTGGTGAACAATAAAGTGGTAATCAAATAAATGAGCTTTGGAATATAATGGCAAAATTGTGAACTTATTCTACTTTAGCACTGAGAATAGCACCTTGATTATTTTAACAATTGTGAATATATAAACTAGGGTAGTTATATAAAGCTAAAATAAAGGAGAAAATATATAAGGGACTAAAATTAAGTAATGGTAAACAAAGTTAAATGGACAGATGGTCACTATGAAATAATATTGGTTTAGGAGTAAGATCCGATTTGTAATATTAAATAAATTGAGCAGTTTATTGCACAATAAAAGTAAAAAAAATGAGGTAGTTGGTACTAGCTAGCAAAAGATAGTTTTGGTACTTGCAAAAAAGTAATTGGAATATACACTAATTGCATACACAATGAAAAGTGACTAAAAAACAAGTAGTGATAAACAAAATTAAATGGACAGGTAAGAATAATGAATATTATTAATTTGGAGTAAGATTTGACTTGTAATTTAAAATTATGAGCAATTAATAGCAGTATGAAAGAAGTATAGAGTATTGGAGGTAGTTGGCATTAGCTAGTGATGAAAATTAATAAAAATAATAATGTACAATATAATAGTAACGTACACTATATGCACCACACGTATATATGTATTAAGGGCACTTATCTAATCTGTTACAGAAATGTCAGCTTTTCTAAGGAAGGTAGAGAAATCATGTTCGTTTGAGATGGTTATATTGTTGTCCTGTTGATGTTTTCCTTACTAGTATTTTCCCATCTCGCGTGAAACACTGATGTATTTTGTTTTCCTGTTTAAGTTTTCTCAGCCTGAACAGAAGGTTTTGACGTTTTTTTTGTTAGACACTCATTTATGTACACTCCATTTTTCATTGTAATTGCTGATTTAATTAGGTCCTTTCTTTTATCGTATGAATGAAGTCGGATCATTATACTGTGTTTACTTCCTGGGTTTTTCCTAGCAAACGTGTTTCTTTGATTTCATTGTTTTGCACGATGACTTGTACGTGGTTCTGTATTATCCTGATAGCAGTTTCTTTGCACTGTGCTTGTGTTATGTCACTTGGAATGTGTGGACTGTTTATTATAACTGCATCAGACAACTTATCTTGTTCAGTTTTGTCGTCTTGGAAATCGAGGTATTCATTTAGTCGAGTGTGCATGTTCTGATTCCAGTCCTTGATTGCTTCTTCAACCTTCATATTTATTGTTGTTATTTGCTCAGTGTGACTGGCTATAGCTGCTTTTAGAGTATTTTCTGTGTCAACACTTCCCGATGTAATCTTCTCTTCAAGGTTTTGGATCTTATTCTCGAGGTGGGTTATCTTGGATTCTCGTCGCTCGAGTGTTGCTTTGATATCTTTGATTTCATTTTCTAGTGCAACGATGTAGTCCTTGATATTGTCAGGAATAATCATACCCGAGTTATCATGGATGAATCCTTTGAAGGGAGTGGAGTTGGAGGGAGAGTCAGCCATGTTTGTTGTTGTTGTTCCCTGGGTGGCGGTGGTGAGGGGGGTTGATGATACACCGGCGTCCTGCTGGGTAGACAAGTTGAGTTCTAGGGTCCTTGCTTTTATTCTTTTATTACTGGTGTTGTTTCTTCTGCGATATCCTTTCATAGTATCACTGAAGTAGATACTGTGTAGCAATGGAGGAGAAGGCTTGTTTTCTCGGAGCTTGGGTTAAGTGGTTGTCTGGCAGTGGAGGCAGTGTTTGGGTTAGCAGGGCTGTCTTCCTTAGATCTTCTAATTTTGTCAAGATTTGGGTTACATTCTTAGTATTCTTGGGTCATGTTGTGGTCTACGTGGGTTCATGTAGTTGAACTTTCACTTAGGCCATCACAAGTTTTGATGAGCGATGTTTTTTTGAGAAAGAAGAGCTGGTAGGATACCGTTGCTGCCGCTGCCGCTGCTGCTGCTGTAGTAATACTGTAGTAATACTATTAGTATCAGTAGTAAGGGACAGTAATATACTTCAAATATTCATGTACACTGCCTTTTTTTTTTTTTAGGGATGGGGTGGGGGGTACTTGGGAGAGGTAAATACCATCATTGGCACATGCTAGATTGCCAGTATGCCTAATGCTCACCCTCTGATTTCAGGTGCAAACTCTACATTGTAGACTGAAATTATCAATGCAACTTCTTGAAATATTGTAGGTTGAGTAATAAGGATATTATTTTATAATTCCATACAATGCTAATGAATATTGTATTCTGTTAATACTGTATCGAAAGTTTTATTACCATTTAGGAAATATCTCAAATTCTTGGCGAAAACAGCATCAAATGCATGAAAGCTGGACAGAGGTTTTTTTTCCTTTTCCGTGTGCATCAATTTGCCTTGTATTCTGTATGGAAAAATAACATTGATGGAACCAATAATGGCATGTAAGTTTGAGGATGTTTTTCCTTTAAAGCAGTACAGCATATACTGTAGCCTTTCAGTGTATGTATAGGCATGCAAGGGTTTATGAAATAGATGCAGTAGTTTAAGCCGTCACCCATTTAATCTTGAAAGTACAGCCACAGATGCTTTGTTTTTAATGACATAATGATGAAGTGCATTATAATTAATACTACATCAGTAATGTAAAATATGCGAGTTTTAGGACTGGCTCACCATGGATTCATATCCTGCTCATTTATGAGATTTTTCTTGTGGTTTGTTGAAGTTTCTTAAAGTATACTTGCAGTAGAAAGATCCACATTCTTTTGTAGTGGAGGTATATATGCCTGAAATTTAAGTAATACTGGACTATTTATTAATTTGTATTTGGTATATTGTATATAGTTCCTGGTGGAGTGGGGTAGAAATGGGTCCCCCTGATGCCATCCTTGGTGTGACTGAAGCCTTTAAAAAAGATACAAATCCTAAGAAGATGAACCTTGGTGTGGGGGCTTATCGTGATGATAATGGGAAGCCATATATTCTACCCTCCGTCAGGAAGGTGAGTTGGAGTAATGTAAACCTCTGTTAGACAAAACTATAATACACCAATTTTTTTTTTTTTTTAATTCCTGACATTATTGTTTCAGATATAAAAGGTGCATTTAACTTCATAACCCAAGGGTAAGCAATATGTGGCCTGCAGCCCAAATTTGGCCCATCATTGCATGTATCAGTAGGAAAGTTTTTCTTTTTTTATCAGTGTGGCAAAAAGGCACTGAAAACAGCAAGTCTAGCTAATCACCCACTGACCTGGCTTTGGGGACACCCCAAGTACAGTAATCCAAAGAATTAGGCAAAGAGAAGTCACTAAATCCTCACCTGAGACACTTATTCTCAACCTTACAACAATGACTGCCACACCCACACCTCAGTAGCATTTCCACTGACCTGGAAGTCCAGCACTAATACTGGCAAGGCTCAGTCTTCTCTCTGTTTCTCACTGAAGTAGATACAGCTAGGTGATGCATTTATTTACTAAAAACTTGTGTACTGGGTGTTAAAATTGACTTTGTATCCTGTAGTTACACATACAAGGCTTTATTTTGTGCTAATGTTATGCATTTTCATCTATATTAAGTGTATCCCATGAAGTGTACCACCTTTAATGAAGTATCCCACCAGCCAAAATAATTACCCACCCTTTACATAATCAGTTTGCCAGAACCGAGTTCTGAAGGCGGGAAGTGCCGTGCCTTCACTCTGGGGTGATAGGAGTGGATGTTACAGTTCAGAGGGTCATTAGAAGTGTAATGTCCAGTCCCTTCTGGCAAGACAGCTATTGTATTACAGTAAATGAGTTTGTTACCCTACCTTGGCTGAGCAGTGGCAAGAGTAGTAAGAAAGTACATACAGTAGACCCTCATATTACACGGATTTATTTGGCACGTTTTGATTATTACACTGTTGAAATATTGGCAATTTTATACAACACTTCGTAAAATTAACACGATTCGGTTTGTGAGGGGGGGGAATTTTGAGCGTTGCCCATGGGATATTTCCTTAGCTTAGCTGCCGCCTGGCTGTGGGTGAGACCACTGTCTCCGCAGGGCTGCACTGGGCTTCAAGGCAGTGAAGGATCACTTCGCCTTGCTCCTTTGCAGTAATGCGTTAGGTGATTTCAAGTGTAAGCCCATGGTTATTGACAGCTCTAAGAATCCTCGTGCTTTGAAAGTTGTAGATGAAAACGCCTTACCAGTAATTTGGAGGTCAAACCAGTCAGCATGGATGACAGAGGAAATATTTATTGACTGGTTTAAGCATCACTTTATTCGTGAAGTAAAGTTTTACCTGCACAGCAAGAACCTGGCATTCAAGGTTTTCTTCATTCTTGATAATTCCCATACTCATCCAGAAGCTTTGCTGGATGTGACCCCATGTGTAAAAGTTGTATTTTTACCTCTAAATACAACATCTTTAATACAAACACTGGATCGGGGAGTTAAGTCATTCAAGTGTAACTACATAAGAAAAATGATGAAAAAACTAGTTGAGTCAATTGACTCTTGACTCTAACCTGGCAATACCAAGCTTCTGGAAATAATGTGTAATGTACTGCATGGTAAAAGAAGCCAGAGATCCGTTACAGAATTTATGCACACTCCAGTACAACCATCGACTTTAGTACCAGAACCTCAACCATCCACTTCTGCCAACAACCGTCCACCTTAGCCCAATAGGGCCACACCATGCATCCCCACTCTCTTCACAATCATTGATATATACCAGCAACCACAATTTAAGGTAAATAATATTTCTGTTGAATTTGTGGTCTTAAGCAACAAAAACATTACCATTTTTATTTTTGTAAAATCTGGATGTCTAAAAAAAAGTTTTAGCTTGGGGGGGGAGGGGGCAGGAATGTAACTTAACCCTATTTTTCCAATAACTTCTTCAGTTTATATAACACACTTATTAACACAGAATTTTCAGCAACGTAACTACTGTGTAATATGAGGGTCTACTATATAAAAAATATAAAGATGTAGAAAATATTTTTTTTTTTTTTCAGAATTGTTTTTTTGGAATCCTAATTATTTAAAGCATAATTTGATGTTTTCCTTTGGTGGCAAAGTTTGCCTGTAAAGGTATGCAATTGTCAAAGATGTGATTACTGCAATGTACTGTGTTTCAGCATTGTTAATGTCGGTCAAAATATGGCCCAGAGAGGAAATTGTAGTTGAATGATTTTGAACTAGATGGCTGGAGAGATGAATGAGCAGATTATATAAATTATACAAAAAATTTTTGTTAAATCTTAAAATGCTACAAGATATGAAACATTAATAAGCTAATAAAAAATCTGGAGAATATTAATAATTTTTTTTATACATGTATGATTATATTATTGTGACCACGAACGAGTGGTATTGATCAATAACAACACTGCACTAGCCAAGGACTCGAACCCATGCTGCTTTGGCCTACCTCATGGTGGGCAAAAACACATGGATAAGGGCGTCATGTGTTTTCACCCACCATGAGACAGGCCAAAGCAGCATGGGTTCGAGTCCTTGGCTAGTGCAGTGTTGTTATTGATGTATGATTATATGTATCTTATAAGGAATTTTCAATGTGTGTTTGGTGGTTTTATTTCAGGCTGAGGAATTGATTATTAGCCAGAAGTTAGACCATGAGTATTTGCCCATCTCTGGTAGTGCAGAGTTCTGCAAAAAAGCCATTGGTTTGGCCCTTGGTGAAGACAACCCAGTTATCACTGATGGATTAGTAAGTTCCTATTTTTAATTTTCTTTTTTCTTCTGTTAGTTACTGGCAGATCATTGTTATATTATCCTATGTTATCCACAACATCCATTTTGTTTATAGTAACAGTACAGATGACTGCAGAGGTACATTAAACAATTTTTTTTTATTTTTCTCTACCTACATTGATGTTATCAGTTTAAATATTCATCAAGTAGAAATGCTGCTCTACTTGTGTGATAATTTCATATTCATTTCTCAAACTTCAGAATTGTACACTTTAATATTGCAACTTTATCATTTTCAAATGCCGGTAGATTGCTGGTAGTTGGTTTACAATTTCCTCTAAATTATAAAAATTTAGAACTTTTTCTAATGAATTTGTATGCTAAATACCTGCTGTATATGTTTATCTAGCCAGTAGATTCCAGTAGGTGTTGATAACTGTGTTAACATTAGGTCTTAAGAGGTTTTATCCCAGGAGAGAAACACAACTAAGAGGTTTCGAAATGAACTAAGGTAGAATAACTGTTCTTTGCCTGTAAAGATGAACCTTTTAAGAAAAATTCTTCATAACCTAACATGTTTGTATTATTCAGAACCTTGAATTAGTTAATATTGTTAACCCTTTGGGGGTTTCGGACGTACTAGTACGGCTTACGACCCAGGATTTTTGACGTACTAGTACGCCTAAATTCTAGCGCCCTCAGATCTAGTGAGAGAAAGCTGGTAGGCCTACATATGAAAGAATGGGTCTGTGGTCAGTGTGCGCAGTATAAAAAAATCCTGCAGCACACAGTGCGTAATGAGAAAAAAAAAACTAACCATGTTTTTGGATTAAAACAGCGACTTTGCACTGTATTTTCGTATGGTATTTATTGTTGTATTCAAGTTTTCTTAATCTCATTTTATAGAATTGAAGACATATTACAGAAATTGAGAGGATTTTGACTGGTTTTACAATGAAAAGTACCTTGAAATTGAGCTTAAAGTAGCAGAATTGTTCAATTTTTACCAAAGTTCAAAAGTAAACAAATCATGCCAAGCATCCAATGCACATCAACTGGCGAGTCTAATATTCTTTCACAAGTGCGCTGATATTATTTATACCATTTCTACACTAATGCAGTAATCGCATAACAGTAAATCTTTTTTTTTTTCTTGTAAGAATAAAAATACAAAGTGGAAAGCCAAAGAAATATAAGAGGGGCCTGGGGATTTGACTAATGAACAGAGAACTTGTTATTTTAGTGCCAGGAATGTATTTCTTGTTTATTCTGGACCCTATTCAGAAATTGGCATCTTTTGAAATTTGTGCGAGATTGGCAAAATTGCTAAATTCTGACCACTTTATTGGATAGTTGAAATCGGTAAATGAGTGGTTTCTTGTACTCATTTGATAGAAAAAATGGAGTTCTAGCGAAATAGTTATGATTTGTGTCGACTAGTACACTGGAATTGGCCGAAAATAGGGCTCAAAGTAGGCAAAATCGCCGATGCGTAAACATCGTCGAGACCGCTAACTTCGCAAGAGCATAATTCTGTAAGTTTTCCATCAAATTTCATACTTTTGGTGTCATTATGATAGGGAAAAGATTCTCTATCTTTTCATAAGTTTTTTTTTTTTTTTTTTTTTTTTTTTTTTTTTTTTTTTTTTTTTTTTTTTTTTTTTTTTTTTTAAAATTTGGTCAACCCTGAGAACAAGTCTGAGATGACCTGCCGACCCTCAAAGGGTTAAAACCCGATTTGAACAAAAGACCAGCCATAATTTGAAATTTACTTTTTTTTTAAGCTTCGCTTTGCAGAAGAAATAGTGTCCAGTCAGTAATGTAACAAATACTGTAGATAAATTATACTTACATTTCATTGTTAAAGTTCTGTCAAAATTCCGGGCCGTTTCTCACTTCACTCTTTTAGTCATAAAGAGGCCAGTCACAATGTACATTAGCACTTTAATACACATCATTCACATGACTGATTTAGAAAAAGGGGTGTAAGTCATATGTGCATTTAATGTATGGAATCTGAATGAGGTGCACTTTAGCAACTTAAAGGGACAGGAAACAAAGCCAAGTGAAAGTATGGATAATTTTCATATGGAGAGAAAAAAAAAGTGTAGAAGGTTGGGAGTGCCTCATAACTGAGATAATTTAATTAGTGTTTCTCTAGTGCAACCTTAGTCCAAGGAATTGGAGCCTCCTCCCTTTCCGTGGTATGGAAGCTCTGCTCCTCCATATTTTATTAATACATTGATGAGAAACTAACACTTTCCTATTATATATATATATATATATATATATTGCAGTAGGAGTAACAATAATGTTGAAGGATAAGTTATGGCAGGAAAAGAGGGACTATAAATGTATTACTTCAAGGATTATGTGGAGTAAAATAAAGGTTGGATGTGAAAAGTGGGTTATAGTAAGCATATATGCACCTGGAGAAGAGAGAAGTGTAGAGGAGAGAGAGAGAGATTTTGGGAAATGTTGAGTGAATGCATGGGGAGTTTTGAACCAAGTGTGAGAGTAATGGCGGTTGGGATTTCAATGCTAAAGTGGGCAAAAATGTTGTGGAGGGAGTAGTGGGTAAATTTGGGGTGCCAGGGGTAAATGAAAATGGGGAGCCTTTAATTGAGCTATGTGTAGAAAGAGGTTTAGTAATAAGTAATACATACTTTATGAAGAAGAGGATAAATATACAAGGTATGATACAGCACGTAATGAAAGTAGTTTGTTAGATTATGTATTGGTGGATAAAAGGTTGATGGGTAGGCTCCAGGATGTACACATTTACAGAGGGGCAACTGACATATAGGATCATTATTTAGTTGTAGCTACAGTTAGAGTAAGAGGTAGGTGGGAAAAGAGGAAAATGGCAACAAGAAGTAAGAGGGAGGTGAGAGTGTATAAACTAAGGGAGGAGGAAGTTTGGGTGAGATATAAGCATCTATTGGCAGAAAGGTGGACTGGTGCAAGTATGAGCAGTGGGAGGGGGGGGTTGAAGAGGGCTAGAATAGTTTTAAAAATGCAGTATTAGAATGTGGGGCAGAAGTTTGTGGTTATAGGAGGGTGGGTGCAGGAGGAAAGAGGAGTGATTGGTGGAATGATGAAGTAAAGGTTGTGATAAAAGAGAAAAAGTTAGCTTATGAGAGGTTTTTACAAAGCAGAAGTGTTATAAGAAGAGTACAATATATGGAGAGTAAAAGAAAGGTGAAGAGAGTGGTGAGAGAGTGCAAAAGAAGAGCAGACCATAGAGTCAGAAAGGCACTGTCAAGAAATTTTAATGAAAATAAGAAAAAAATTCTTGGAGTGAGTTAAACAAGTTAAGAAAGCCTAGGGAACAAGTGGATTTGTCAGTTAAAAACAGAGTAGGGGAGTTAGTAGATGGGGAGAGGGAGGTTTTGGGTAGATGGCGAGAATATTTTGAGGAACTTTTAAATGTCGACGAAGAAAGGGAGGCGGTAATTTCATGCACAGGACAGGGAGGTATACCATCTTTTAGGAGTGAAGAAGAACAGGATGTGAGTGTGCATTACGTAGAATGAAAGGGGGTAAAGCAGCTGGAACTGACGGGATCATGACAGAAATGTTAAAAGCAGGGCGGGATATAGTGTTGGAGTGGTTGATATTTTTGTTTAATAAATGTATGAAAGAGGGGAAGCTACCTAGAGATTGGCGGAGAGTATGTATAGTCCCTTTATATAAAGGGAAGGGGGACAAAAGAGATTGTAAAAATTATAGAGGAATAAGTTTACTGAATTGTCCTGCCAAGTGAGTGTAAAACAGAATCCTGTATTTGTTTTACATGATGGTAGGATTGCTGGTGTCTTTATTCTGTCACTTAAACATGTAAAATTTCAGGTACGTCTTGCTACTTCTACTGACACTTAGGTCACACTACACATCCATGTACAAGCATATATATACCACCCCTCGGGGTTTCTTCTATTTTCTTTCTAGTTCTTGGTTTTTGTTTTTTTCCTCTTATCTCCGGGGGGGAAGTGGAACGAATTCTTCCCCCCTGTAAGCCATGCTTTTGTAAGAGGCGACAAAAGGGCCGGGAGAAAAGGGGCTAGTAACCTCTTCTCCTGTTATACAATGTTTACTAATGAAAAAGGAGAAACTTTCGTTTTTCCTTTTTGGGGCCAAACCCCCCCTGGGGGGATACACCCGTTTGTTTTTTTAAAAGAAAGAAAAAAGGGGTTTATTTAGTATAAAAAAAAAAGTGTACAGTAGGGTTAAAAATTAAAAGAATTAGAGGTAAAAACAGAATTTTAGGATTGCGGAATGAGCAAGGGGGTTTTTTAGAGTAGGTAGGGGATGTGAAAGATCAAGTGTTTACATTGAAGCAAAAATTTTGTGAACATTTTTTTAGAAAAAGGGTTAAGGGGTTTTTTTTTGCTTTTTAGGGGTTTTTGAAAAGGCATATATAGTGGATAGGGGAGCAATGGGGCCCAGTGTTGCAAGTATAGGGGAAAAGGTTTGGTAAGTTACTAAATCCCGGAAAAGAGAAACCCCCCCAAAGGGGGGGGTTGGATAAAACCCTTTATTTTGCAATCGTGCCCTTTCCGTTTTCCCGTGAGTGCGGGAAAAAGATTTTTTATGAGGATAGTGGGGCCCTAAAGGTTAGGGTTTTGTAGAAAAGAGGATAGACAAAGGGGTCCTGGTAAAAGTAGGCCCCAAAAGAAAGGGTTTTTGAATGTCAAAAAGGCTGTTTAAAAAAATTTATAGATGGGTTTTAAAAAGAAGAAAAACCCTTGGGGTGTTCGGGGGGGGGTTTTGGGTTTAAAATTGGGGGAAATCAAATACAAAAGGGGAATTAAACACAGTTGCTTTTAGCTGATGAACTGTTCTTTGGGGTTTCTAAAAAAAAAATTGCAAAGGTTAGTGGATGGGGGGTTTGGGGGTAGTAAAAAGGTAGAAATTTAAAAGTGAACATAGAAAAGCCCAAAGGTGATGAGGTTTTAAAATGTTTTAATAAAAAAAATTTGGGGATATAAATTTGGGGGGGATTAGTATGGAAGAAGTGAATGTTTT